TGTTTCTTTGCATGGTTTTCAGGGTCTTGAAGGATTTAAATGATTTGGTGTTTTCAAGTATTGGGGATTTCAAGGGATGCTCCCGGCTTTTACTGTGGTGGTTTAGGGTTTTCAGGGATGTCAGAGTTTGTTTGCGGTTTTACTTTTAGGGGTATAACATGCTTAGCCGTTTTGGTGGGTTTTCCGGAGTTTTCCGGTGTTTTTTTGGGCGGCGTTGGTTTTGTGCCTACCGCTTTTGCCTTAAGGGGCAGGAGTGTTTTGGTTTTAGGGGTTTCAAGGGCGCGTTTTTACGGTTTTGTTTTTGATGTTTAGGGTGTCAGGGTTTTGGCCAATTGAAAAGTATGCTTCTTTACGATTTTGTTTCAGGTCAGTGTTGTCAGGGTTTGCATGGCCGTTTCAACAATACTTTCACCGAGTATCGTATCGAACCGCCCGCTCCCGTATCGAACCGAACCGAAGAATTTGGGACCGCACCAAACCGCACCTCACCCCCGAGCCCTACCCTACCCCCTACGCCCTGCACCTACCCGCCACCTCCTCCACCCTCCTCCCACCTCCCACCTCCTCCCACCTCCCACTCCCACCTCCCACCTCCCACCTCCCACTCCCACCACCCACTTCCCACCTACCTCCCACCTCACCTCCCACTCACCTCGCACATTCCCACCCTCCCACCTCCCACCCACCTCGGAAAGGGAAGGGAGAGGGTGGGAAGGTGGGAGGGGAGGTGGATGGAGGAGGTGGGAGGGAGGAGAGAGGGGGTGGGAGGATGGGAGGTGGGAGGAGGTGGGGGTGCGAGGCGGGAGGTGGAAGGTGGGAGGTGGGAGGGGGGATGGGAGGAGAGGTGGGCGGTGGTGGGAGGTGGGAGGTGGGATGGGTGGGTGGGAGGCGGGAGCGGGAGGTGGGAGGTGGAAGGTGGGGATGGGAGGTAGGAGGTGGGAGGTGGAGGAGGGAGGAGGTGGACCGCACCGACAGACACATCATCGAAGCAAACCGCAGGCAACGCCAACCGTACCGAACCGAACCGTAACACCCATGGTTTAGGGGTTTAAAGGATTTCAAGTGGTGTCTCCAATTCTGTTTTACGGGCTTAGGGTCTTTTGGGGATTTCGAAGCTTAGTTACAGTCTTTCTTTTAGGGGTTTAAGGTGTGTAGGGCTTTCTTTGTGTTTGGGGGTTTTAGGTGGGGACGATGCTTTTGGTTTTAACACTACATGGCAGCAAGCATGCGTGCAAGCAACACACACACACCTTTTTCCAACGAATGCGGATGCCTGCACACTGCAGACAGGGCCCCCACAGAGACTCTGCCTGCAGCATGCCACACCCTGCTGCACTGAGGTTTGATGCACTGCAAGTAATGAATTTAATGGAGGCTGGGGAGAACCATCGGGCAAACACCTATTCCTGGATAGTCATTCTCCTACTTCTCCACCAGCTTTGCACGATCTCCCGAAGACATCCGTGAGGAAGCTTGCAGAAAAGACACCAAGGCCGTGCAGTCCGTAGCAGCTTTTTCGGCGACAGGAGGGGGCACCGACGAAAAAGTGGTGCTTTTCATGCTTCTCCAGGTTGCACAGAGGGCTGCCACTACCCCACTCCGTATCATCCTGGCTGATGGCCATGGTTTGCACCAACACGGATTTTGCGTAGCTGTCCAAGCGGTCTTCATTACGAAGAGCGTAGTAGAACAGCTGGTCAGAGGCATATAGGCAAGAGCAACGACCTCGGCGGCTTCCCCAGGCACGCCTGCCTCCTGCAGCTGTTTTGACCAGCTGGCGGACGGCAGCATTGCAAACAGAAGAAAGCAAAGCAAGCGCACACAAACGCGCGCAGTTGACGACGTACATGCGCACTCAAAGTCTTCCTGCAAGTAGCTTGGAGCGGTCCGAAAAATATATGTTTGCCACAAAACAGCACTCAGCTGTGAAGCTCAGAAGAAACAGGGCCTCGTGGCCAAGAACACACAGGTCACACAGACCTACAATTCCTCTCCTGAGCACAGGCCGCACGGGCCTTTAACTGACCGCACAGGTCCAGCACCACAAGGCACCACCACAATAGCAAACAGGCGCCCCTGGCCGCGACACAGGTCACACGGACCTTAACCGGCCAGCAGGCCAATTATAACACCCCCAGCTCGTCCACAGACATTCTGTCATCCGCAGGGGCGAACATGGGCCCACCAAGCCTTGCCGTACGCGGACTGGACTTACAAGCACTATGTGCGCAAGGCGTCCAGCCTTGGAAGCACGGGTTCGTCTCCCGCAGCTCGAATTTGGCTTTGGCATTGCTGAGAGCTCGACAGGCCGGCCTCCACGACTTGCCTGTAATGTCGTGTATGGCTTTGTGATACCACCCTGTTGCAATATTAATCATCCAAGGCCCATCGAGCGCAATAATCGGGGACTCTTCCTCTGACTCCTCCGAGCCGGAGCCGGACTGGCTGGACGCAAGGGCTTCTTCACCCTCTGACTCCGGCTCCGTGTCAATGGCTTCATCACATGCAGGCGTTGGCGATGTGTCCAACTTTTCAGGCAGGGACTGCAAACCGCGATTCAACGGAGTACAAGGAATCCAGCCCTTGTGATCTTCGGCTAACACTTCGCGCTGGCATCTGATTTGCCCCACGATGTCATCCCCGCCGTATTTGGGGACTGCCTTAGACATAGTGGGGAGCACGTGGTGGCCTTGTTTCGCTCGAGTAGCGTCATCCAAGAGGAGCTGGTTGGCCCAGCTCAGAAGTGTGCACTTACAGCTGTGCGAGAACATGGCAGCCTGGTCTCGCGACAGACCCCCGTAAGTCCAAAGAATGCGACGGAAATGTCCCAACATAGCACAACAATATGCAAGTGGCTTACCTGAAGACGCAGCGATCAAAAGGTCCTGCTTTGGTCGGAGACTTTGCAAGCCCGAATAAAAGAAGGAGCCCCAAGCAGACTTCGAGACAACGCCCATCACGCAGCCCCAGGCCATCCCACGCTGAGGCAGAAGCCGAGCCATGCCCGCCAGCCACAAATGCCGACGTAGACTGGCAGGCGACTTATCAAGGAATAAATGGCCCCGCTGTTTCGGAGTGACCCTAGCACTTTAAATTCCATTTCGCTGTAAGGCAATAAGGACTCGGCAAAGCCCGCCCAGATGGAAGCCAATCTGTTGCGCTCTGAGTCTTCGAAATCCTTCAAACAAATTACAGAACAACCCTGCCTCAGAGAAAATGCCCCACAGCTGTGGCTTGGCCCATAGCTTGTAGCGGCAGTCGCGTCAGCCGGGGCGCAGCTTGGAACAAGCGACTGTTGGTGCGCCACAAGGGCAGCACACCACCCGAGGTGGAGGCACAGCCATACCTCCAGAAGGCAAGCGCACACTGCTACAACGTTGTTTGGGCACGGGCACACCCCCGCGTGGCAGCGGCGGGGCCGATTGGACATTGAGCGTCCACGGCATTGCAGCAAAAGAAAGCAAGAGCGAAGCAAACACTGCGAATAAAATTAGTCTCTGCAGCAGGGCAACTGCCTGGAACACGCAGCTGCAACAAATTCACACACTGGAAAGAAGCATGTACAAATACAATAAGCATGCAGATGGCAACCAAGATAGTGTTCGGAGCATGCACTGGCCGTATCCCAACCCACCCCAGTACAAGCAAACCAAGTGCTTAGGGCTTCAGGGGTTAGCGGCTTTGGGGGACTTCCAAACTTGCTTACGGTTTTGGCTTTAGGGGGGTAGAAGAAGGGTTGGAGGGGGTTGGGGATTTTGAGGATTTTTGTAGTTTTTGTTGTCGGGGTTTCGTGCAAAGCATCTGCCCGGGCATCCAAAACCTGATGTCGATGCACGGACTAATCGCTTCGAAACCTCGGTTGAACTTCCGGTTTCTGGTGCTGATGATGTTATTCGAGAGATCGGAACATAGACAAGCATGCAAGAATGAGCCGCAAGACCCGACTGCCCTGCATCCAAAAAGAACCTCCGCACGTTCGAGGAGGTGCTGGGACGCCAGGTCTTGAGGCTCCTTCGCAGCATCAAATTTTGGGTGTCGGATTAGGGTTTACAATTTTTCGGCTTCCTGCATTACATTGTGAGGACGAACCTGCATTTAGGGATTCAACGTTGGATGCGGTAAAGAGGTAGAGTTAAACGTTCATGTCGTGGAGTTGAGGTGTGTAAAGACCGGACAAGGCAGTTGCAAGTAAGGCGTAAAGCATTGGCTGCATCGAGGGATTACGCTTAGGCGCGCCCGAAGCATCCGCGATAGCTTTCTTTTCAAGAACAGTGTCTGAGGCTAGTGCTTTTTCTGCACCCCGCCATACAATGAACAAGAAGACGACACCGACACAGATAGTCCAAAATAGCCACCCCACGGCGACAATGACACCAAGCACCAACACCAGCACCGCCAACGGCAGGAGCAGCAGCAGCAGCACCACCACCACCAACAACAACAACAGCAGTAACAAGAACGGCTATAACTTCTGCTGAAGGTGCTTCTAGTACCGCTAGTACTACACCGCTACTACAGCTACTACTGCCTCTATACTCTATACCACCACTACTACACCACTACCACTATCACTACCAGTACCACTACCGTACGACCACCACTACTACTACTACTACTACCACCACTTACCGCCTCTACTGTTTTGAACCCTTTCTCGGAAAGACATGACTACTGTAGTCTGCATGTCGGCAAGCACTACAACTACGACTACTATAAGCCCCCCAACCCCTGCCAGCATCCGTGCGCGGAATACCTCCACCTCAATAAACAACCGGAACAGTGATCGCTTTCACATCGTATTTTGCTCAGATCCTTCAAAGCTGCACTGCCCCTGTCACATGAACATCTGCTGCGACAGGCAATCAAACACACTGGGACACCGAATGGGCCTTTTGTTGAACCTGTCTGAATCTACCGTGACATGTCTTCCGAACAACTTGAAGCAGATGAGAAGACTCCCACAAGCCCTAACAAAGAGAACTGACAAATCCATGACGTTCCTGCGCCAGGTAGGAATTTGCCAAGTGAATGGCCTTCACCTGAATCGGCTTTCTACCAGCTTCGGCGAACCCTTCCTGTAGCCCGCAGCCCTACAGAGCAATGGGTTCTTCTTATGCTTTAACATGGTCTCATCGTACTGGATCCACAAGTAAGCTTGGACGCTGAACTTTGTCCATGGGAGGCGAACTTCAGTGACTTTCGAGGGACCCTGCGGCTAAATTTGCGTGACGCTCATGCTTCGACAGGACCTGTGGTGCCATCGATTCGCACAGTGACTGCGACCCATAGTCCGCCCTCAACGAATCCGTAAAGCCATCAAAACCCCGTAACGAAAAAAGCTCAAGCCCGGGGGCGAAGTCTCGGCGATGAAATGCCTCCAGCGCATCATGGTACAGCTGCAGATAGCGACTGAGAGGGTGAAGATCTGCCGGCCCAGAGACTTCATCGATCAATTCCTCGGAGAAGCTCCGAGAGCTTTGAGGCCTATAGAACCCGGAGGGTCCATTCTACCCAAGTAGTACTGCTTATTTTGGCCTTAAGCTAGTCCTACCCAGGTACGTTAAGGCCAGTATCTATTATTTTGGTCCTGGAGTCATGGGTGCTTAGGGTAAGGTATGTTAGGGTAACCATAAGCGGGTAACCCTACAGACGTTGGAAAAGATTTACTATAAGGGGTGCAATTAAGAATTCTATAAAGGTTCGATAAAGGTCACGATAAGGGTCGGGTACCATGAGGGTCCTCTCTGGGGCGTTTTTCTAGGACTCTAACTCTAAATCAGGCTCTCGGGTATATTTTGCGAAATCTAATAAATAAAGTCTTAAAAGACGGGGGGGATGAGCGGCGAAGGAGACGATCGGGTGGCGGGTGTAACATGGTGGGACTTCGACGGGAATAGGTCGCTGGTGCACATTATACTGGATTACTGTGAATTCAGGCACGATCATAAGTTTGTTTAAGGTACTCCGGTGAAAATGATACTATGTAGCGGAATTCTCGTAGAATTATGTAGAGGATGCCAGCTGCGTCGTGCCATGATGGTGTTGTTCACGTAACTCGCAACAAGAAATCATGGCATGACACTACAAACAAGTCACAAGTAACCGCAGAATCCTCCAGTCTAGCCCAATACAGGGGCCATCAATTCTAAAAAAGAACTTTGGGGGTGGAGTGTGCCATATCTTGAACAACGGCCACAAGGAATGGCGTTACGAATTGTTCAGGCTGCTTCTATGTTGCCACCTGCTAAAGCCAATACCCCTGTCACGAAAGACACATCAACGGAAGATGTTGCTGAAGCTTGACACAGTTGGACATTCATGGGCATTAGGTCCCCCAAGGCTCTCCTTCATTCCCCCCGAAAACGAACTGTGTGGAGGGTTTCGGCCCAAGCCCTAATTAAACCCTAAACCTTAAGCCCTCTGAGTCCTCAACCCTGAAGTGTATGGTGAAGCCCCAAAATACTAATCGGCTTCGGTCCTAGCAAGTTTGAGGTTTTGGGGTTTGGGGTTTGGAGAATGCAAGGATGCCCAAACAGCCAGGGGAGGCACGAGAAACAGCTGACAATTGCGCGGCTGGAGCGTTAGGACATGCCACCGTCACCATGGTTATCAAGGGTTTCCGGCCTGATTGTGTCTAACCCTACCCCCCCAGGTACCTACTACATAGGGTACTAGGGCTCCTAGGGCCCTGTATAGTAGGTACCTGGAGGGCTAGGGTAAGTTCACAAGCAGGCTTTGGTTCTTGGTTTCGGAGAGTTTTAGATACAGGACTGGAGGCTCCGGAGAGTCGCCGGGGTTCGTTAACATGGGGGCCTCAAGAGCGAGAATAGGGTTTTNNAAAACCCTATTCTCGCTCTTGAGGCCGGCAATGATACCTCACGAGTGATTCTGACCACATTGAAGAAAAGTCAGTTTTTCGGCGAGTCAGAGTCCGGGCCAAAAGCGAGCTGCTGTCTGAGCCCAAACCCTAGCTCCAAATTCCGAAGAAGTCTTATAGAAAAATACATACCGTCGTCTTGCTCTTGTCAAACTATGCTACTGCGAAGAAGAGACGTGTATCCAAGAAAAAGCTACAGCAATGTAGGGTCGAGGTGCACCGTGAGCTTCACTGGAGACATATCGAACTGGCTAACCCCACGAAATTGAACATCAACACTGCAAGCAAGAACAATTATTTGGTTCTGCCTTCTGGGTGGGTCACGAAGTGTTGCAACGAAGATTTCTAAGTGCAGCAAGGACCATGCTTTCCCAAAGGTCAGCAGAGGAGCTTGACCCGAAAGCACAGCGGTCCAGATCCAGCCGTGACCGGCTAATCTAGGGGCCTCAATAATTAGAATAGGGTTTTGGGGCCCATCATACCATAATTACAATAGGAAAACCCTAAACCCTAAACCCCCAAAATAATATAGGTAATTATTGAGGCCCCTATACTAACTTGTAACGAGTGTGGCGGAGAGTTCCCTCGTGGCCGAGAGCCAAGTACTCCACGCACCTTCGGCCGGAGTACATGGCCTTACCCATAGGCCCCTAAGTAGTTCCTTTTTGTGGTTTATATTTAGAATCCTATGAGGTAATCCCAAAAGGAACTACTTAGGGGCCTATGGGTAAACTCTAAACCCTAATAATAAAGTCTACCCATAGGCCCCTAAATAGTTCCTTTTTTGGGATTACCTTATAGGGTTCTAAATATGAACCATAAAAAGGCCTCTAAATAGTTCCTTTTTGGGGATTACGTTATAGGGTTCTAAATATGAACCATAAAAAAGGAACTATTTAGGGGCCTATGGGTAAACCCTAAACCCGGAAACCCGTATTTACTCCCCCTGCAGCAGCCAACCTGCTCTAACACGCGTTATGCCTGCAACCAAGGCCACGGCGACACTGACCACTCAGACTCGTCCTTGGAATGCTTCACCTGTAAAATTTGATCAACCCCAAAAGAGCGCTGAAAGGTACACGTTTGATAAGGCTATAAGGTGAGATCCCTACAACAGTGTACGTTGATGTGCCTATAAATCGCTCGGGACAACCGCTTGATGTGGAAGAGCAGCGTAGCGGTCGCATTGCTGCTGGCGCTCAGTCAGGCTCCTGCTGGAAAGCTTCAAAAATGGATGGCTTTTGCTTTCCTCCGACATGCAGCTGTACAAGAAAGGATGCGACTTGAATTTGTTTCCCCAGCCTGGAGTTCGACCTGCCCCTCAGGTGCAGCCAGTGTCCTGCTGAAGAGCTACACACGAGCTCCGGCAGCTCTTTTGATAAAGCTATGGAGCGGAAAACTCCCCATGTCATACCGGAAATCATTAAAGCACCGGGTTCATATCTACAGAGTTTCTAACCCGGAAATCTTAAACCCTCTATGTCCCTATAGCAAAAGCAAAACTCCCAGAAACCTTCTTACGGAGCTCTCATCATAGAACCCCTCTGAGGAACCCTAAACACACTAGAGTTTCAAGAATCCGACTGAACTCAGAACGGCTTAGACCGCTTAGACCCCCAATACCGTTGCAGAATCTGGTGCTAAGGAAGCCCGGCAGACTCTCTGCACGAAACATGCTGCTACGGGGGCTGATATGGCGTCTTCAATGCCGTTCATGTCCCCACAAGCAGCTTGAAATGCGAAGAAGGAGCCTCAACACCTTACATCCTACATCTATATCACAGAGAGCCCAATACCCCTTAATTAACGAAGATAGCTTAAATTACAATATGCATCCCTTTATGATCTAATAAGGTATATTCCTTAACTAAGCCTTAACTTTTAATTACAGACAGGGTATTGGTCTGGGATTCAGAAACGGAAAACGCCGAAAGCTGCAGTACAAGATTGACCCTGCATGTATCTCTTGGCCTTTACTGTCCCGTCAGTTCGTCGAAGGCCTCCGACCTTCAACGACCACTCATGCTCCTCCCTTCGCTTTTCACATTTGCAGGCAGATGTAGTTCTCTCAACTGTCGAGAACTCCGAGATGTAAGGAACGCCAAGTTGTAAAATTTATGAAGCCAGGTTCCCCCTGTCTGTAAACCGACGCCAGAGTGTGGAGGTCGCCTCTCACACTATTGTGGCTAGAGATCGTCGCCATCATGACTTTGATGGTGGTGATTACAGCAGTGATGGCGAACATATGAAGGTTAAGACGATGGACAGGATGAAATGATTCTCCAATTAAAAACAGGCAGCGAAAATCATGGTGAGCTGCGGTGATTACCATGGGGAGGGTTCATGGTTTAGGGTGCGGTGTGGTGACCATGATCTTGACAAACAAAATACCGGTGGCACGGCTGCGGCTGATGATGCGGACGATGAGGATGATGCTAGAGTTGGCAGCCTCTGCATCGAAGCTAATCACGTTGTCGCTATAACTGAGGATGCTCATGTACTGGAAGTGGTAATAGTGGGGTGTTGGTAGTGGAAGATGTGATCATTATGCTGTACGTAATGGTGCTGGTGTGGCTTTGCATTGCATGCTGGTGCTTGGTGAAAATGAAGCTTATGATGATGACCGCGCTAGTGGCGACGATGGTCTAATGCAAGTGTACCTCGAATTCTTGTTCGGTTCCCCTCAAATGCTGCAAGCAGCATAATCCGAAAAGGACTTGTTGAAATGAAAGGACATGGCATGCAAGAAGAAGCTAACTCTGGGTTTCGATTTAGTGCGGTATCAAGGTAGATCGCAAAAAGAAGACGGAGGAGTTAGCTTGTTATCCCGTCCCTTCAGAAAGGTTTTAGCAGGGATCCTGCTGTGAAAGCTGCAGCTACTATGGCGCTTCAGAAGGTTGTTTTTGGCCCGGAAGTCGACCTACTATTGTTGAGCATGCGAGACCAGGAAGGCAGTATGAGGCAGCTTCCCGGAAATGCCAGGTCCTCTCAGATTTCTCGGAGCTGCCTGCTTGAAGCTGCAGCTGGATCTGCATCAGCAGAACTGAGCAGGAAACCTTCAGCACTCCCTCCGCAATACTGGTCCACATGGAAGGAAAGATCACCCCCCAAATCTGTTCAGGGCTTGGGGTTGAGATGTGTAAACCCTAACCCGTAAACCCTGAACTGTACATCGTAGCTCGGACGTATAAATGCTCAAGTAGGCACTGAAGTCACCATAGCATCTTTTTGACACTCACCAAATCGACAACTTCCTACCTGCAGTACTTGTTCCCCATCGCCGACTTAGGCGCAACTACAAACATTTTCCTGAACACGGTCGCTTGGTCGCTCATGAAGTGCTTGCTGGCAATCCGGTTCGTTCCGACATGACCTCTACACTTGCGAACCACCTCTAGAAACCAGAGAAGCCAAACATGTAGATTCAGTTTGGTTGATTTTTGGACTGGGGTTTAGGTAAGTGTACATAGTTCTTCCTTCCAATTCTGGTAACGAACACCATAGACGGCGCAGACTCAGGGTTTAATCTCTCTCACAATTTAGGCAGTCCAAACGAGTCGAGTTGCTTCAGGCTATATGGCGATTTTCGAGTGTGTCACTGCCGAAGAGATTTTGTCGAAACCAGGTCATGGCATCCAACTCGCCAAGTGCCAAGTGTATTCAGTTTACGGGAAAACGGCTGTCCACGACAATCAGGGGCAGGCAGTGCATGTCTAACTGCCTACAGTAGCTGTTGTTGAACTGTCGGTGGTGCTGCAAGAATGCGGGCGAGGCCTGCAATTTGTCAGGTTTCCATCAGTACTATGCATAGCACCAGCCCCAGCTCCCAGCACAGAAGCGCTCGATGCTGCCTCTTGCCCTGAACCACAAAACGCTTTCACGTGCATTCTAGGGTTTGGGGTTTAGTTCAGGGCTGATGGAGTGAGCTCGCAGGGTTTTTCTTCTTGAGCTTATATACGTGTCTGTCTAGCCTAGGGGCCTAGACTAGTGGTGTAGCACCAGCGGAAAAAGGAGCTACCTTGTTGACAAAGTATGTAGTCTCCAACAAATTCCAAAGTACCGAAGTTTCGAGACCTCAGTATCTCTAGAGTCGAAGGTTGGGTCCTCAGCTCTCAAACACTTTCTGTAAGGGCAGACGAACACCGTTTGAACAGGCTCGTCAACACGTGAATGCTGCACAAGGTGTCAATATGGTCCCTTTCTCGGCTAACTAACATATCGTAAAGTCCGGCGAAAAGAACTACGCTGGAGGAGGAACGTCCGGTCAAAGATTGTAGTCAGGCAGTTGTGACAAGCCCGTTAGGTCATGTGTGAACCCTGTCATTAAACCACAATAACTAGTTGTCTACAATTGTAGTCTAGTCTAGTTGTAATTTGTACTTCTTCCGCGCTGGAGCTGAAGAGAACTTGATCTCACAAACGGAACACCATGCCGTTCTGAAGCGGCACCTCACCGGAAAGCACGGACTCTATCTGAGCTGTCGTGCTACGGTCACTGGAAGTTGCATCCTCAACTCTTTGCGGAAAGCCTCCTTTGGGCATTGCTGCTCGCTGTTGTCTTCCTCGAGTTCCTCTGTACCTCGCTGCATCTGCACGCTCCAAGAGGCCTGACAAGAAGTTCCGGGCATAGGGGCAGCTCTCAACAATGCCTTGCCATTCGTCGTGCACTCGAGCGGGAGACATGTCGAAACGCTCCAGGAGCTCTTGAATCTCGCGCTTCACGCGGCTCCTCAGTGACTTCCGAGGCCGATGTGGCTGTGTGCCAGGGTCATGTCTCTCCAAATGCACGTGGCAGTAAGGGCAGGCAGCACCACGTTCGCAGCCACGCTGTGTGTGCAGCAACACACACGGCCGGCAGTGGTGGGTTGTCACGGAGTCCGTGCTCGGCATCGACGTTGACCCAGAAGGCTGGAAAGCCGCGGCGAGCTGCTCGACTGTGAAATCGCGTTGGCTTGCCGTGCCAGACTGACGCGGAATCGAGTCTGATGTGTCTCGACAGTCTGCAGCCATGGGCAGTTGAAAGGACTCTGCGTGTGCGCAATGCCTACAACTACCGTCCCAGTCGGAACTACTTTCGTTCGTTTTGCTTCATCAACTTCTTGGCAACAAACCCCAAAATCCAGACTTCAACGCACCCCTTGGAGAGGGTTCTGAGTTCAACTAAACAAGACCCAAGCTTTAAAGCCGTCATGTCTTTTGTTTAAGGCTGTTGGGTTAATAAGTTATGGCCCTAGAAACCCTAAGCCGGAGTCATATGGACTTCCCATTTCCAAGGTTAATATAACGGTCCCTCGCTCCATGCGCTGCACACGCTCTCTGTTGTGCCGTCTCCCGGCACTCGTTTCTACTGCACTGGCAGCAACTCTTGCAAAACTAGAGCCGTAGGCGCGTTCGAGAAAGGCACCGAGACCACCTGAAGCTCACGGACTTAATGGCACCACTCTTAAGATTTAGGATCGGCTATTAAGCTTCCGGGTTCGTCGAACTGTCGGTTGCCGACAGTCGGAGGCCAAGACAAGGAACCACAGGCACGCAATTCCGAACATCACATGCCACTCGAGAGAGATGGGAATCTGAACCATCTAAACCTTTACCCCTGTCGGCTGCAGCGAGGCAGCGTAGACCCACACAGCCTCTTCCTTGCCCTTCACCTTGACTAAGTCCAGCTTTCTGCACCTTCGGAAAATTCCAGGCAGTTGCTTGATCTGGGATCGCCTCTGACAACTTGTGGAGCCAGGGCTCCGAATACGTAGCTTCCTGGATCTCAAACTGAAACCTACTCGAATCTACTTCGCTCCGGGGTGCGACAGCTTTCTTATTTCTTGGTGCGTTCCTCAGGGCTTCAGGCTCGGTTGATAGCGCATGTCATCTCGGCTGCGCCTATATCGTACACTTCAGTCAAACATGGCATCAAAGGACATTTCTTCATTCTAAGTCTCCCAATGCCAAACTGCCAATTAGCAACAGATACTCAACCCCGAAGAACGATGCCAGCGGTCTACACATTCATCGAATATGAAGGGCAAACTGGTTGTTCTTCATGCCCAACAATCACGATCATCAACTCTTCTGCACCGAAAATATCTGAAAGCATTGCTTTCGATCCAAACAACAAGCAGTGATTCATTTCCAGGGGTATAACAAATGCTGAACATCTGTCTTCCGTCGCACGCTAAGCTCAATGCTCACGACTATCTCCCTGAGTCGCCATGGAGCTCCCAATCACACGCCGCTAGACTAGACCCTAAACCCTAAACCGAAACCCTAACTGAACCAACATCGCCCTGATCATATCCGTAGACAGCTTGCCCTGCTGAGTGCTCCGGCGCCAACCCTAAACCCTTAAAGGGCTTATGTAAGGAACTCAGAAGATGGAGCCCTAAGACGGTAGGTTTTTCTAGGGTCCAGGTAGGCTTGGGGAGACTGGGGTCTGAAAAGTGTTTCGGGGGCTTCGGGGAGAAATCTAATATAAAGGCTTTTGTGTTCAGGGTTTATAGGGAGACATGGGCTCCGGTTTGCGAGTTTTTTAGGCAAAAAGTTCTTGCACATGCTAAGGCTCTTGTACCTACACTCCTGGGCTGTTATGTTTTTTGCCCATCCCGCATTCCCTGAAACGTGTGGGGAGCACAGGAAGGTGTTCGGCAAAGTCGTGCGTGTCGCATCCGAGCAGAGGGTGCCGACGCCATAGTGCTTGGCGAGGCCTCTCAGGCTGCCCTAACGAACAAAACTGAAAGGGGTACATGTGGGGGTTCTTTCAAAACCAAACGAAGCCTTTGAAGGGCTCTCTACAAGCGAATGATTAGAACAGGGTTTCGTCGTATATTAAACTGCAGTTTTGTTAAGGGGGTTTCGAGGAACCCAGCTCAGAGAATGGAAACGCCCCTAGATGCATCTTCTCCCGGGATCAGGAATTGTCTTGGGGATGGGGGGAGGGGGCCGCCGCGACAGGAAGGATGAGGGTTCAGGATTTGGGGCTCCCAGACCCATCTGAATCACTGAACTCCTAAACACCTAAAAACCCCCTAAACCCTATGTGATTCGCTGTGTGCAACATTGAGCAAAACCCGATGACATGACCTCTCAAGGGGTCTGCGACCGGATAGCATTCAACGATTCATCGATGCTGGGGATAAGCCGTCAAGACGAATCCTCTAGTGCCTACTGTCTGCTCGGAGTCCTCCTAGCGGTTTACACCCTCAACACCTATACACCCTACACCCTAAACCAATATCGCCCTGATCACTGCTGCCTTCAAGGCGGCTGGCTAGATTGATGGGGTCGCCCATGCAGCCATACCTTCGCAGGTCAAGGTACAAGGAATCGTTTGCACACGCCAATGTCATGACCGCCCGGCCTCGAAATTGACCATGAACCCTGAACCCTCAAGCCCTATAGGCCGCGAACCCTACTGAGCCAAGCCGGGCAAGCTGTGCTTCACAGTCGAGCGGGCCTCTAGAGAAACTCTGTGTGAGAGCCACCAATTAAGGCGACCGTTACGGCTTCCCAGTGCTTCCCCCCATGAAGATGGTCAACATGCTTGAAGTACCCCAAGCACTGGCGGCGGAATAATGGGATGCTCGCACGCGCGCGCGTGCGTGCGCAGTGTGCACCGCGCCACACCAGCAGCCGCGTGGGGAACGACTGCCTTCTGCCCCACGGCGGGTTTCGGGCTTACTGTATAGGGCTGCTTCGGGTCTCCGGTTTGCGTATGTACGGTTTGGTTAAAGCTACGGGAATAGCTCCAAGTTGCATTGCACTCATTTGGAAGCGGTGTCAATGCTCACAGGGATGTCTCCAAGAACCCCGAACCTTGCTCTGCTCTTGACTTCTGTTGCGGTGTGAGGGTGATGTTAATGCTGTAAAGCTTGCGGATTCTTTCAGCTAAGAGAAAGCTATCATTGAGCCAAGGAACTTCATTTTCTTGTTGCTGCCTATGTTACCAGCAAGCACATCCTCAGCTGGGACAAATGCATCGCCCGATCAGATGTGTAATGCCAGTGAAGACAACTTGTAGCGAAAGCACCACTCAAAGGATTCTGCAATTGATGCCGCTGATGCAGCAAGTGCCTCCCTCCAGCCGAGAAGTGCCGTACCCCACTGCTCACGATGACGATGAAGATGATGACGACACTGATACAGAAAGGACGAAGTCACTCCAACGATAATGAGCAATAGGCTCAGAACATGGATGATTGTGGTGGTAGCCGGACAGTATCTATATGTACATATATACATATACATACATACATACATACATACATACATACATACTTACATCCATGCATACATACATACATACATACATACATACATACATACATACATATATATATATACGTTTGTATGTGTATATATATATAGCTATTCGTAAATACATGTGCTTTGAGTGATGTATGTTGCGAAAATATGGGTGGTGGATATGATGATGTTGTCGCTGCTGCTCTTGCCGCTGTTACTGCTGACGGTGGCGATCGCAGCGATGACGGCTCTGACCGAGCCAGCTTTCGTTGCTGAGTCTCCTTCTTCTGCTGGACGGTTACAGCCAAAGCAATGTTGATGTTTTGCTTTAACTGGTGAAGATGATGATGAAAGAGGCTATTGGCAACAACGGTACGCCATAGTGTCGGCCATGATGACGACGGCAACCACTATGAAGATAAAGCGAGTTTGATGATGCAGTGACTGGGAAACTATTGACCATTGGCAAGGAAAAAACACGAGGAAGTCGATGAGGAAACAGCCAATCACCAAGACCTGATGATCATCACGACCTTTCCAAGCTCTATGGTCCAATATAGGTATGTTATTGGGAACTCAGAGGACTAATGCTGGGTGGCCGCGTCGACTAATCCCTCTCTTCAAGGGACTACCACCCTGAGCCTTAAGTCCCGATGCCCTCCATCCTAAACCTTGGAAGAAATGATCCTAAACAGACTTTAGGAAAAAATCCACGCCAATGGGGTGTGGGGCTCTCTGGGTGCTCACCGCTCTACCGTGTCAACATCTTTTGCTTAACTGTGTGTACATGCATAGGCATGGATAATAAATGAATGGCTTACGTTATAAATAAACCAGTAGTGGATATATATATATATATATATATGTATATATATTTGTATATATATATATACATATATATATGCCATTTATATATATATATGTAAGAGTATAAAATATATGCATATTCATTTTCATATCCCAGTTAATTTACCTCCTTTGAAGTTTGAGAACACCGACGCCGCTGACGAAATCTGGGCCGGGCGTCGCCTGTGTGAATGCCAATGCGTATCCTGGGCTCTTGTGTTTTCAAATCTGTAGCGCTTGGGCATGTATTTGACAGTTGGGGATTTTCGCAACTTTAGGGATAGACAAGGGTGTTCGGATGTTTTCGGGATTTTTTGGGCTTTCGAATTGGGCGTCACGTAGAGTTGGGCTCCCCACGAGCCGCCAATGTAACACTATAGATGCCCTAAGCCCCCTAACTCCAAACACACTCCTAAAAAGTTAAATGATGGCTTTTCTCAACCCCCTAACTCCGACTCCAAAACACTCCTAAAACAAATTAGAAACGATGGATTTTCTGGAGAGTTGCGCCACGCTGGGGAGTCCCATGCTCGCGAAGGTGGCATTCAACTTCGGGAGTGCCTTCCGCTTAGGTCTGTTGGGGCTTTAGACTTTACGCCCCGAAGTACTGTAGTCTCCATTGTAGTTCCTTTTTTTGGTTTAACAAATTTTATATTAAGGATCCCAAAAGGTAACCCCAAAAATGAACTACCATGGAGACTATAGGTAGTTCCTTTTTGTGGTTAATATTTAGAATCCTATAAGGTAATCCCAAACAGGAACTGCTTAGGGGCCTATGGGTAGACTTGAGTATTAGGGTTGGGGCTTTAATTAGGCTTTAGCATGTCGTGGTTGAAGGTTGTAGGGGGGTGAATTTCGGATGTCAGGGTTTGGGACGTTTTGGGTTTTTTTTTTAGGGTTTATAGGGGCGTTTGGCCTATCTACGGTTTTGTTTCGTTCATGCAGGGTGTGGCCGGGTTTCGCGTCGGAGTTCCTTCCGTCGAGCTGCGGAGCCCGAAACGAACTCAAGGTTTGGGAACTCAGGGCTAGGATTAAGGGTTTAGGATGTTAAGAGTTTAAGGACACTTAAGAGAAAGGATCAACGGCTCGCCACTTTTCGCGTTACCTTGCTGCAAATAAACCACGAATGGGATAAACCGAGCAAGCGGAACCAACTACAACGGAGACTATAGGTGAGGCCCTGGATTCGTCGAGCGACATTTCGCTTAGTAGGCGCTTGAAGGCTTATAGGGGGTCTTGCAGGAAAGAGATGCTCAAAGAGCAGGGGATGAACTACGGTTGACAGTAGAAGTTGCGGAACACAAACTTGCCTTCTGCTGGGCGATGGCTGCGGAGCAGGCTGCCACATTGTGGTCCTCCGACTGCAGGCTTAGATTGGGGATGACTTTTCGTCTTAGAAGGGTCCAAACACTGAATCTGAGCGTGTACCTAAAACTATCCCTACACTCGACATCTGCCTACGGTTCAATGAGCTCGATTTAGAATCCGAGCCTCGGAACGAGGCGAATTTACGTTGGCTTGTCCAGCCGTGGTCGAAGTCTGCGGTCGGCCGGACACCATCGAACCCGGAACAAGGAGCGGAATGCCTTTAGGCCCGAAGCCCCAAACTCGACTCTCTCTCCCTAAAAAGAACCGTCTAAGGAACCCTAGTCGGAACCTGAATATGGATCTGGATCTCAATCTCAAGGTTCTCGGATAACTTGAAGCACTGATTAGCTTGTTCGCTTCCTCCCTTCAGTGTACACTTTAGTGAATTTAGTGAAAGTGCTTCGGGCTTCCAGATGTTGCGCAGGTGGTCATCAAAACTTGAGTGTTATAATCGGCCAAATCAAAAGCAGGCACAAGCACGTTCTATAGAACCGCTCAAAAGAACCCGTACCAAGCCCAAAGCCTTATAAGCGGAGATCCCCAAACAGTGAAAGACCATGCCAAAAGCATGCCATTAGGACCGCAAAGTGTCGCATGCGAGCGGGCCTCAGTTATCGCTTGGGAAAACATAGGTCGCAACTGGTTGCCATCCGTGTTTTTGTGCAGCATTTACAGAGACGACCAGCAAGTGATCACCACGGCGCCAGGAGAATGCGCAAGAGACCTCGAAGAGACCCACCAAGAGAGCACAAGGGGACCACCAAGGGTTTTCGGGTTTAGGGGCCAGGAGACCGCCAGCAGACCACCAAGAGATCACCAGAGACGACTGCCAAAATGCTTTCCCCCAAATACTGGCACATTCACTGGCAGGATTCAGAAACCTTCGAGAGCAAGCGGAGTCGCTTCCCCCCAAATGCAGGTAGCTTCAGGATGACCGCGATGCTTTCTTCGAAGTACTGGCGTTTAAGGAACACGAGACTTAATGATGGTTCCCCCCCCGTCAGCTTCGGAGATCGTGTGCTGCGATATGCTGCGATAGTGAATCCTGAGCGTCAGGGCGAATGCTCCACAAATGATACTGATAGGATGCTAGCAAAAGTATATGCACCGCGCCACGGCGGGAGATTCACGTCGGACCCGGCGTCTGTGAATAACAGGGCGCGGGGCCCTGCATTTGCTGTAAAAAAATAGGATTCGGGGAGCCATTTTTCCGGGCCCGCCGTGCGGCCACGTCAATCAAGTCTTACTG